GATCCCCTTCGTGCACATTTACCGGTTTTTTGGTTATTCGAACGTTCGGTGAAAGACCTCGCTTAAATTTCTGCGATGCATTATCATTTTCATATGATTGTTGTAGGTTTGTAGCGGATGAATATTTACGTAAAGATGGAAAAAAACGTGTTGACGATATCGATTTGTTGTCAGCCTCTATATAAGGATCCCCTTCGTGCACATTTACCGGTTTTTTGGTTTTTTTAACAACCGCTGAAATGGTTCGCCTATGTTTCTGTATTGCACTATTATTACTATTATTACTATTATTTTCATACGTTTGTTGTAGATTTGTAGCGGATGAATAAGATGGAATTAATAATTTGTTATCAGTCTCTATAAAAGAAACCTCTTCATTTACCGGTTTTTGTGTCTTTCGAAAAGCTTTTAAAAGTATTTGTTTAAGGTTTTGTGACCTACTATTATTTTCACAATTTTGTAGATTGGTAATATTCATTTTATTTAATTTACTTGATGAGTCTACATTGGAAGAATCAAATGATTCCTTTGGTTTCACTATATTTGTCATAAGGACCAACGCTTGCTTTTATTCTCTTAAAAACTTTGAAATAAATGCCTTTGCTGTAAAAAAAAAAAAAAAAGAATTTGATATACAGAATAGAAATGAATTTTTAATTTCTTTTTTTTTACTTTTTTTTTTTTGTTATTCGTTGGTAAAAAGATAAAAGCTCACCCTATTTTATATTTGGTATCAGATTATGATTTGGATGAAAATTTTGATATAAATGGTTGATCGGGATCATCTAAAGTAAGTCTCAGAGGTAAATCCTTCGTAAAAAAGGTTCACTAAAACGCCAATTAAGGCCATAAAAGCATAACACACAAATATTCAACACATAACCATACTTTATAATAAATATAAAAAAAAAAAGTAAATAATAAATATAATAAATAAATGTTGTATATATACAATATATATATACTACAGTATAATGATGATGAATGATTCATCCCTTCAGATGCACAGTTAATTTTTCCTGCAGGTGCCGTAAATTTTAATCTTTTAAGTGACACAATGCACCAAATACATGTAATTTAATCGATGTAAACAGTTGCGAAATATTAGCTAACCTAAAAAGTTGTTAAAGAAATGATTAGTTATTATTTATTTGTATCCAGGTCAAGACTTCAAGGGTTCATTATAGTATAACAAGTCACATTGTTTATTGTTTTAATTAAATATCTTTTCGATTGTTGATCTTAACGTTTTAAGGGACTTTTCTAAAACAATTTCAAAAAGATTATGAAAGATTTTTCTTTTTTTTTTCTCCTGTTTTTTGTTTGTAGAAAATTTACTGTTATATAAAGAAACGTGATCACACTAAATTTAGAAAGTTTATCATTTGCATGAGGTGGTCGCATTTTAATTTATCAGACTGTTTGATGTAAAGTGGTGCGTGTATGTTACAATATTTATTTTTTGTACACAGTTTGAATTTAACGGGATGTTGTCAAGATCATATGTGTATGATTGATTCCAAGCTGCTTGTAATATATTTTTGTTTTGATACCTAACTCGCAGGTTTGTGCATAAGCCTTGAGACGATGTGTTATTTGGGTCGCCAATGTCATGGATTCAATAAAAAACCTCTCACTCATTAATGGTTAAGTCACAATACTTGATTATTCATTCATGATTATTCATGATTTGAAACTACGGAATAGAACGTCTAGATGTAGTTCAATCACATCTAATTTAATAACCATTGAAACGTGAAAATAGAGCAGAAAACGCAAAGATCGTTGTATGCGAAACATGAATTCTTGGCGTATCATAGGTTCAAAAAGAGTTCCATAATGAAAAAAAAAAAAAAAAAAAAAAAAGATCATGTTCTCTAACTTTTACCAATATTCTCATTCATCATTTTCTCCATCAACTCTATATAATGTATTTATTATATGATTATTTTTTTCTATTTATATAATTTTTAATTGCTTATTCATTATACAATTCCTCAATCAATATAGTAAATTAAAGAGACATATAATTAATATTAAAAAATGTGATTAAAATTACTTGTAAAATTGAAATATGCGAAGATTAGGCACAGAATTGTTAAAGAAAAATGATTAAGAATAATTGAAAGTAACAGTTGCTTGCTTAATTATATTTTAATAAAACATCTAAACTTTTAGTTTCATAAGATTTTTAATAACCATTTTTTATAAAATTTACCAAATTTTAAAAATCGGTTTCAAGATCACGTGCAGGTGACAAATTTACTGGGCGTTGGGAAATCAAATGAAAAGACAGAACAACTCTAATAACCCTACTCCTCTATGGCAATCATGGGATCAGGAAATGGTAAATCTAACTTTTTATTTACCAATTCTATAAACCAAATGAAAGTTTCTTAAAATATTCTTTTCTTTAGATTTGGGAATAGATCGCAAAATGGCGGCGAAGAGCTTGAAGACCCAAATTATTTACAACGAAATTCTACAAACATACAAGTATACTAAAAGTTTAGTTTTTTTAAAGATCATGTATTGATATTTACCTTTGATGTACCTTTGATGTTCTACATCAGGAACCATCAAATAACCTTTCAAACAGACTTCAATGGCGGCCCGAGAGCAATAATGGTTCAGATATCAAATGTGACTACATTATCAATCACAATTACACCGGACGCGCTGTGCATCATATATTCGAAAAATTGTCTAAAGAAGAGAAAAAAGAAGAGAAAAACGAAGGGAAAAATGAAGAGAAAAACGAAGGGGAAAAAGAAGAGAAAAAAGCAGAAGAAAAAAAACCGAGGAAATCCATATGTCAACGCCTGGATCAGCTAGCAAGCTGGATGAACATTCTGGAGCCAGCCCGCAACAAACGTTCCATAGCAGTGAACGTGTCGTGGAAGACCAATCGCAAAAGAATAATAGCCTCTTTCGCAGTTATATCCCAAGAACCACAAGACAGAGCTCGCCTGGTCAGGATTCGACAGAAAATCGACTCGCTTCTTTTCCCGAAAGACCAGAACGTGAATTGTACGGAAACGATTTCCTGGACTCACCTAGCAAGGCTTGGGCCCAATATTCCGATCAATACGCGCACAATCAATGTGCGAACGAAACAAATGATGCCACCCTGTCAAAATTCTCAAACTTGTCGGATTACATTTGTGAACATCTAGATAAAAATAATCGTTTCGGGTTTCACCAGATTACAAACGGTGATTCATTGGACTTTGTAGACGTAGAATATATTGAGTATCTTAATGAAAAATTTGGAATAATTGATATTAAATCAATATTCGTGGATCGTTCCGGATTAGTCAACTGGTTATTAGATAAAGATGGAAATATGTATGAATGGAACGAGATGGAGCAAAATCTTTTATACATGGGGAAAAATCTTGTAGATGGCCTCACAAATTACTTTATATATCCAGAAAATATTTGTCAAGTCATGAACAATGATGATCGAGTTCCTGTAATGGTCGTATAGATGAAGGGATGGAAAGGATCTGGAATAACCGTATAATTATATGAATTAATGGAAGTTAGAACATTTGCTTATCCTGCACATTTATAAATTTATTTGTAAATTAAAATAATAGGAACATTTGCTTATTTTGCATATTTGTAAATTTATTTGTTAAATTAATAGAAATATTTGCTTATCATAAACCAAAATAATAAAATATATTCGGTTGATTTCTGATCTCATGTTTGCAATATTATAATTATACCGCCTTTTTATAAAACGCTCAAAGTATGTGTTATATTTTTCTTTTTCCTTACCTTCAACCCTCTAATAACTTTCACTGAACATGCCTATAGAGAATTATCAGAATTTTTTCGAATTAAACTTTTTTTCTCAATATATAATCTGTCTAATATAGATTAATCTAATTATTACCTATATTTTATAAACTACATTATGTCTGCTATTACAAAGTTCATTACAGATCCAAAGAGATAAGTCTTGAAGAATTTAGCCGATATTCATCAGAAATATTTGAACTCTTGACAAATGATAAAGAGAAAGATATCATAATCGTAATCATCTTCAAAAAGGATATACAGAGGGTCTCCAAAAGTTTACACACTTCTTTTGTATGAATTTTCTCAAAATTTTATTAAGCAATTAAGCAATTTACAAATAATAAATAATGTTTCTAGACTATTAAAATATAAATTTTATTAAGGTTTAATACTTGGTTAGACCACCATTTACATTAATTACCATTTGAATTTGTTGAGACATACTTTCAACTAAATTTTCAATTTTTTCAGAAGTAATTGATTTTCAAGCCTTTTGCACTTGTCGTTCAAGTAAGAAAAGGTTAGTGGGCTTTACTTTTTGACTTCGAAGGTTTTCTAATTTTGTTTCATAAATTTTTGATCAGGTTAAGATCAGGACTTTGGGCAGGCCATTTAAGGGTTCAGATATTTTTATTGCATGAAATTCTACAACAATTTTGCTTTTGTGACAAGCAGCATTATCTTCTTGAAAAATGCTATTCCTATTTGGAAAAATCGCTTCATAGTAGAGATAACATGCTAGTGATAGTTTTAAGATGTATTGCACTAGTTACAGAACTAACTAAAGGGATAATTAGCCCTAATCCTTGTGCAGAAAAACATTTACAGAATATCTGACTTGGACTGTGCTTTACTATTACTAAAACACATGCAGGTAATATCTGACTTGGACTGTGTTTTACTGTCGCTGAAATACATGCAGGTAACTATTTCTCAAATAGTTCTCACCAAACTCAGCTGATACGTGATTGCTGAAACTGAGAAAAGGTTGATTCATCAGTCTAAAGAATCTTTTCCCAATCTTGTATAGTTCAGTATGTATGTTCTTATACCTATGCAAGTCACTTCACCATGTTTTCAGGTAAAATAAATAGTTTTAGCCTAGCTGCATAATTATTTAATCTAATAATATGGTGTTTGACGGATAGTAAAGGTAAAAGCATCCTACACTGACTTCTTTTTTCAAAGAGCTTGCACTTCACAGATACATTTGCAGCGATTATTTTTTTTTTATAACCAATCGTTTAAGTTGATTACAATTTGAAGTTGGCATGATTACCTAGAACATAGTTTTGTATTAGTAGATCCAGTAACTTTATATCTTCTTATATAAGCTGAAACTGCAGAAGGTTCACATCCTATAGTTTTTGTAATTTTTCTGCATGAATGGTCAAGTTGATGTTCATAAAGAATAGCACCCTTTTTAGGACTTAGTAAGATCTTTTTCTTTATCCATTTTTTTAAGGTAAAGTTAAAAAATTTTTTTTTAGTTTATTTATTCTTTTTTTATTAATGTGAGAAAATTTATACAGTCGTTTCAAATTATGAATGCATAAAACAAATCGATCAGGGTTTACAATTTTTGCAAAGTTTGCAATATTTATTATATTTACAATGTTAGTGATATATTTAAATGAAAATGATGATCTAATCAAATAATAAATAGCTTAATACAAAGTTTAATTTACTATTCTAGAAATAATATTTATTATTTGATGATCATTTGCTTACTTAATAAAAATATTATT